AGTCATTTCTCATTTACTTGATGTATTTAAGTTCCAGCACGAATAGAATATAGAGAAGCAGAATCTTAGCAAAGAAACCTCCTGGTCATTTCTCGCCAAGAAAGGAGAAAATTGGTTCAATCCCGTTAAAAAAAGGGATTCATTGATCACTCATACGATTTCAACACGTATCAGTTAGCCTTATCAATCAGAGGGCGACTGGGATGCTTGGGCGAGGGGAACGACACGATGTCAGAGTGGTGATACAGACTCTGACGATGACAGCTAGAAGGTTACGCCTCCAACAGCTCACCGGCAAAGCCATGATGACGACCAAGTTTCGTCTGGTAATGACTTGGTTATAAGAAGATCCATATATTGGATTGGTAAAAGGAAGCTAGGGAAGCTCCTAGGCAACGAAGTCGCACCAAGTTTTATTAAACCTAAACATTTGTGCACGTCGTGAAAGGAAGTTTGGTGATTCCGGCTACCTTCGTCGACGGAAATGGAAAATGACTGACTGGATGAAATCCAGATTCCCATGGTAAAAGATGGCCTTCAAGGCCAGGATCTATTGAAAGTCGGCCGGAATTGGACGATTACAACTACCTTGATTTGGGAGCACTATCGTATTCCGATACATGTTTGTTCGACGCCGGGAATGGCATTGTAGTACGACGAGTTTGGTCCAACCAGCGTGGCAGGGCTAGGGTTTACGGGGATATCCTGTTCCCTGATTACGCGGTGAGGGTTGGGGTTTTTTTCTATCTCCATATCCGCCAACGGGGTAAAAGGATACCGAATCCTTATTCAAAGCAATCTCGAGGAGCCCTGCTGCGAGTAAGTCGGAACTTTCTGGGAGGGATACACGTATCTTCTTGCTATTTAAAACACCTTCCCCAAGCTCATACTCTTAGCCATATTCTTCGAAGAGAGTTGGTTGTGGCGGTGGATGGCAGAGCAATCTCCTCCAAGAAACATGATTACTCAGGTACTCCTCCTTTAGATTGCTCTAACGCTCTCCTCTCATTCGCCATAGATTCTATCTTGCCCGCCGCCATAGTCCTGTCCTGAACTACACGTTGTTCATGGCCGACTTTGGAAATGCTGTTGCATGAGCGGGGTACTGGTGTGATATGGGAATGGGGAAAAAATAATATTGATGTGCATATTTTGATGCAGATTGAAACTATGAATCACATAGTACAAGACCAAGTGGTTCAATTTTCTCTTGAAGAGATTCAATCAAACAAGGTTCGAAAAACGAAATCCTTGCTTGGCCGCCTGTTCACGGATAGTAACATATCAACGATCGAGCTGCGAGATGAGGTGAACTACCCCTGTAAAGGACATGGTAGGATCAAGGTGCTGATGGAAACATGGCCTATTCGAGTTCATCCTTCCTAATGAGGAAGCCAAAAAGTGGGTGCTGAAGCGAACCCCATGGGTGATTAAAGATAAGATATTGAACTTAAGGGCGTGGACACCTAATATCACTAAACGAACCTTTGATGATCTGGCTATAGCCCCGTTTCGGGGTCCAGTTATGGGAAGTGCAAGAAGAATGCTGCACCCAACAGTTCAGTTGGAAAGGGGCGAATACAACTCTTGCACGTGTCTTGGAAACTGGAGTTTTCACCTGCCCAGACACGAGGAAATGCTTCATCAAAACGAAGGTCCTTATTGATTTTCCCTAGCCTCTGAGATCTCAGATCATGGCCACGAATGAGGAGACTGGTTGTTTCTCAATCAGCCTCAAGTATGAATACCTACCAAGCTTTTGCTTCAATTGTGTGCGCGTCGGCCATTTTCTTCGAGATTGCTCTTTTGACTCCTCGGCATGAAAGGAAAAATTTGGTCCTCACATGTCCACCAAGAAGCTGGGTACGAAACTCTATGATGATGTTGAGGATAACCTTCCTTATACTGGGATGTCGAAGTTAGTATGGGTGAATAGGGAGGTATATGGAAGCAAAAACTGGTTGTTCCAAATGCTCGTCGTACGACTCATGTGGATGAGTCAGGGTCGGGGTCAACGAAGATCATGAGCAAGGACAATAGCCCCCTATGGATGGCCACTTCTGATCAAACTTTCCTCGCAGTGGAACCGACAACTAACAAGCATAAAAGTCCTCTTCGCTTTCCTATCTCCAAAGCGGACAGTGCAGATAGGGTGCCATACCCATAATCATTTTGCACGAAAGGAAGCTGGAAACAACCCTCGTGTGACTGATAATACTCTTCTACTGGTGGAGACCAAGGCTAGAAGGAGGTTGACGAACTCTAGTAACAAGGTTTGAGAGGAGGATCGCGAGACGCGGAAGAATGGTGTTAATCAAAAGGGAGCTGCTCATTTCTCTGCCCTGGACACTGCCTCGACGACCACTGACTTGTGCATGGACCAGATGCATCATCGTTGTCTGATCCTGGAGGATGAATTGGAGGAGGATATCCCTGTTGCTGATCCTCCTTCGAAGCTGCTGAAGGCTACGTCCCGTCGTGGTGCTGGAGGGATTAGAGGCAAAGGGAAGGCTGGTCGTGCTCCCCCGTCCAAAAAACGCGATACTTTTAAGACAAAAACTAAACATATTAAGCAAGAGGGAGGTGCTAAGACATCTCGTCTCCAGCCCTTGGGGAATAAAGATGACGGGCGTGGCACGAAACCACGAGATCAAACTTCTAAAGTAGTCCCGGACGGGGGGGACGAGCTGGGTGGGGATGTGCATCTGGGATCCTCACCACTGGACGTTCCGCCGCTGCGGTCGTGGCATGCATCAAGCCCTGACCATTTGGGGCTCTTCGACTCTGACGTGACTTTGTCTACGGATGAGGAGCCCATCCTCGAGCTCAAAAGCCGCAAGCCGATGCCCGTACACATGACGACTCGCACTAACGCAGTGGGGCATGTTAATCAGGTGGCGTAAGCGTTTAAGGAAGGACTGGTGATGGATACAGCGGGAAAGGGAGGTCGAAAGCTGAAGCTAGCTGCTGATACAGCATCACATGATGCTCTTGGTCTAGGAATCAATGATGTTGGGGCTTATCCGCTTTCTAGTATTAATGAATACGGGGCCAACTTTCTAGTTCCTGGGGTCGGGGCTCGTAAACGGGCTTTGGAAGAAATTGATGGTGATGTGGGTGCGACTCCCACATAGAAAAATAATTTGTTGAAGAGAATGATGATGTTGCGAAGGTGGAGGAAGCCAACCTGGAATGGCCCAAGCAAGATAAATGAGGTTACTTGCTTGGAATGTGTGGGGAATTGGACCATCACTCACATTCCAAACAGCGGTCGGTTTAGTTCATTCGAATAAATCGGATCTCATGTTTATTTCTAAAACTCGATCGAGCCTGATATTCGTTTCTCGTCATATGCGGGGCTTAGGTTTTGACCTTTCTCATTGTTTTTTTTATGCTATTGACACATCGGGAGGTTTAGTGTTAGCTTGGTCCCCCGAAGTTGAGGCTTCGGTGTTTTTTCTTTCCAACTTCTGTATTTGTGCTCAAATTAATGAAGTTGATTTTTCTTATGTTATGATTTATGCTTATATTAGTTGTAATGCCGCAATAAGAGCCACCCAATTATCTCAGCTTCAGAAAATTTGTGAGAGAATCCATATACCCTACATCGTCATAGGCGATTTTAATACTACTCTTCATGAGGGTGAAAAAGATGGTGGAAATCCGTGGAATGCCACCCATTCTCTTAGCCTGCGTGATTTTCAGGACCTTGGCCTCAATGACCCTGGATACTAGGGGGATCAGTTCACTTGGAGAAACAGAAGAATGGGTGCGGCTTGTATTCGTGAGAGATTGGACAGAGCTCTGTGCTCGCAGACCTGGATTGATCTTTACCCAGATACTCTCGTGAAACATTTCATGGATAAGGGATCGGATCATCGGGCTCTCCTCCTATCTGACAAACCCTATACACGAACTAGTCGACCCATCTTTCGTTTTGATGCTCGTTGGGCGGATAATCCAGAGGTCAAGGCAATGGTGAACTTTGTATGGCAGGAGGAAATTCCAGGCACTCCTATGTTTCAACTTTGGGAACGTCTTAAGAAGTTACGCCATTTTCTCTATGACTGGAGTAGGGCTGGTACTACGAATTCCCTTCGCAATATTAAAACTCTCCAAGCCGAAATTGAACGGATCAAATTAGTCCTTCCTATTCATTGGGATGCAATCCGGAACCTGGAAATCGAATTAAATCGTCAATGGGAGGCTGAGGAGATCTACTAGCAGCAAAAATTTAGAGTCCAATGTTTGATGAAAGGAGATAAAAATACTTTCTATTTTCATACCGTTACGAGGGCTAGGAGAAAATGGAACTTCGTGGTCGGCCTTCGTAATGGCAGTGGTGAATGGATCACGGAGGAGACTAGAATGGCAGAATTCGTTGGTAATTTTTATCAGATTCTTTTTACCTTGGAGAATCGGGTGCTTAACATGGTTGATAGGGTGGCTGATCTTCCCATAGCCCAAAGTGTTACTCGTGAAATGAATGCCATTCATACTGCTACAGTCCTTCCTTCCGAAGTTAGGAAAACGATTGTTTGTATGGGTTCAAAGCAAGGGCCTGGTTCTGATGGGTTCACTGGCAAATTTTTCAAGGCTTTTTGGGATATTGTTGGTGAGTCTGTGATTGCTGCGGTATGCCTTTTCTTTTTCACGAGTAAGATGCTCCGTAGCTTCAATCATACTTGGCTGACATTGATTCCCAAAGTAGATAATGTGGAAACCATGAGACAGCTTCGTCCAATTAGCTTATGCCAGTTTGTGAATAAAATTATAACCACAAGGAAGGGTACATGGCTCTAAAGGTTGACATGGAAAAGGCCTATGATAGAGTCGAATGTCCATTTCTCCATGCTGTTTTGGACAAGATGGGTTTTAACTCAACCTGAAGAGGATGGATTCATGAATGCCTCAAATCAACTTCATTTTCGGTCCTAATGAATGGCACCCCTTCGGGTTACTTCATGCTTATATTTGTTTTTCTGTGCAGCGCTGGATTTATGCTTTATTTGATTGAGAGGGCAAAGAAGTGCTTAGACTTTTCAGCAACCGTCTACATCATCCATCTCTTTATATGCTTGATATATGGGGGATGGCCTTCTTCTCTGACATGGTGGGTTGTGAACCTCACTGGACTTGCAGTGATGGCATTGCTAGGCGAATACCTTTGCATTAGGCGTGAACTACGAGAAATCCCTATTACCCGATATCATCGACCAAGTAAGTTTATTTTTTCTTGCAACATAAGCTTGCTTTATCAAATACTACTGAGAAATTTCTCCTTCTTTAATCCTAGAGTCCCCAAGTTATAGGAGGTTTGCATTTCTTGATCTGGGTCATGGTGGACACTAGCATTTTGGAAAATCAGAAAAGTTGTTCCTCTAATTTTTGTAATTCTTAGCCCTTGACTTCTTCAAAGTAGCTGGTTTGATTGATAAGTTACTCATGTCCATTTCCATGTTATTGGCCCATGTTTCATCTGTACACAAGTAGATTTGTGATACAGGAGCATGTCTTACATTCGGTGTTGCTGTTAGGCCTCCTACCGCTTCTTTCTTTTCTGAGTTTTGATGCTATCTGCCTATTTCCTTTGGTTCTTTAATCTTGATAAAAACAATTCCATGATCCTGATGGAACTACATTGAACGAGGTAGTTGAAAAATCCGTGTAAATGAAGTGTTTGTTCCCTTTTTGTTGGCTCTTTGCTTCTGTTTGGTTTCATGTTTTTTTCTGTTTCTTTCCTTTCATATATTTGTTTGTTTTCATCCACTATCTTTGTTGCCACAAATATGTAATATTGTTGCAAGTTCAGATGTCCTCAAGTTCTTAGGTTTATTATGCATGTTGCTTTTGCTGACCTACAGACTACAGCAACACTGTACTCCAATCTACTACACGAAATTGCATTGACTGGACATTGTTGTCTGGGTTATTCATTTTAAGTTCAGTCTGTTTCTCTGAGCTGATATATTTGACATCCGTGCTTATAATATCAATCTATTGCCTGCAGATGTTTGACATCCGCGCGAGAGCCTTCCCGACTATAGATAACATACCTTCTTCAGCACTCAACAATGTGGATAGACACAGATTCATGAGCTTTTGAGGAGGCCCCTGCTCCCTGCTATCAAGTTGTCCAATGCTACAATAGGAAGAAGTGATTTTCGTCAATACAGTATTCATCTTTGTGTTGTTGTGCTTGAAAGAAGCAACAGAGGAATGGGCACTCCAGATTTTGGGGTTGGTTCCTAATGGTTGGGAAAGGGAGCGCTGAGAATAGGTTTGCATTTTGTTTCAGTGAATATGAATGTAAAGCTTTAGTTGATCTTTTACTTTTGTCTTTCGGGTTTTGCCTGTGTGGTTTTGATATTTGTTGCGATTTCTCCAGTGGCGTACCTGTTTAGCAATCAGCCGTTTGGACACGTTGACAAATGGAATAAAAAAAAACAGGTGGCCGTCCTCTAGTTCAGCCACCTGGGTATTTGACCAAGAACAATGGGTCTCAACTCTCAATTGAGAGCTCAGAGAAACTAGTTCAACCCACAATATGTATGTATTGTTTTAGGATTGAGAGCTCTTGTCGCATAAATAGGGTAATAAGGGTTTGGGTTCTTGTGGTTGAGCTCTCGGTGGGTTTTGGAAGGTTGAGTCGATGGGGTTGAGTCACAAAATTTGACTAGATAGTAATACATTCGAAGTCTCTACCTCAAATTCCATAAACTGTTCAAAACATCATATTTGGTTCACATATCACATGCAAATTGATATAATGTGGGATTTCAACTCAAAACTCTGCAATTTTCAATTCACTCATCGAAAGGATCCACACGAATCGTATAAAATCTAGTCTTTTAAATGTATATGTAACTCTATTAAAAAGATTGAAAACTGTACCGTACCGGCGGTTCGATCAGAAAAATCTCCTACTGGAATCAAAATCGGTAGGTGGTATGAAACGGTTGAACCATGATTTCAGCATAAAATACTCTGTTGCTGACTTTTCCGGTACACCGAACCTCGATGCATATTCAGAAAAAAAAAAAATTGTAAAATCATACAGAAGGTCGTACCGGAAAAGTTAGCATTTGGTTATTTTGTGCTAAAATTGTAGTTCAATCGTGATTAAATAATTTTATACAGCTAAAAATCACCTGGCGATTTAGATTCCGTAAGAAGTTTCTCTATTGGGCTCCCATTACGGCACAATCGTAGTTCAACCTTGGTTCAATCAGTGTTGACACATTGTAGCTCCTTTCTTAAGGTGACAACGAAAGTGGGAAATGGCCTTTGGTGTAGGCTTGACACGTTGCTCCAAAGGCCATACCGGAAAACATAGCATTAGGGTATTGTTTTGCTAAAACATAGTTTAACTGTGGTTAGATCAGGCTTGACACGTTACTCCAACCCGAGTTTCGATCATGTTCATAAAAACCAAAAATTGTAAAACCATACTGAAAATCATACAAGAAAAGTTATCATTAGGGTATTTTGTGCTAAAATCGTAGTTCAACCATTGTTAAATCAGGATTTTGTGCTAAAATCGTAGTTCAACCATTGTTAAATCAGGATTGACATAATGCTCGAACCCAAGCCTCGATTTATGTTCAAGAAACCAAAAATTGTAAACCGTACCTAACGTCGAACCAAAAAACTTGGCATTAGAGTATTTTGTGCTAAAATTGTAGTTCAACCGTGGTTAAAATTAGGCTTGATACGTTGCTCCAACCCGACCCTGGATGTATCTTAAGAAAAACTCAAAAATTTTAAAACCATATCGAAGGTCGTAGCAGAAAAATTAGTTTTATGGTATTCTATGCTAAAATCATTGTTATAAATCAGGCTTCACACATTCCTTCAACTCGAGCCTTATGTTCAGAGAAAATAAAAAATTGTAAAACCATACCGAAGGTCGTACCATAAAAGTTAGCATGAGGACATTTTGTGCTAAAATCGCAGTTCAAATATGATTAAATAATTTTTATAGCTACAAAAAATCTACTAATTTAGATTCTGTTAGGATTATTTCTAACAGACTGTTGCTAAACGCGATAACAAATAAATACGAGTTTGCAAACAATACATCTAATTCTATGAGAAGCCGCAGTGAAACGCGGCACAAAATCTACCTAGTTTGATATAAATAAAAAATAAACTCAGCAATTCAAGATATATATTCTCTCTTTTTAGCAGATAACTGACATTCTTGTTTATTAAAGATTTAAAGTTTTTAGTCTCGAATATTAATACAAATTAAAATTATTTGAATTAATAAATTTCTATCCTCCGATTTCCATTAGCCTTAATTAATTTTACTAGATTGTGGCCCGGCCGATTGGCCAGGTAGTTTTTTTGGTGAATTAATATTTTATTTTGGCAAAAAAACAAATCAGTGAATGAGTGTCCAAATCTCTTCATTTTTAGTTAGAAAAAAAATATTAAAATTTTTAAAGGTTTTTACAACTGGACAACTGAGTGAAAATACCAAGAGATAAAACGGCGTACGAAATTAAAATTTCAAAATAAAATTTTAAGTTTCGTCTTAAAATTATAAGATAATTTGTTTATAACTAAGTTAATGAGAAAATAAAAATTTTCTTATAACCTAAAGTTAAAAGGTTATCCATGTGAATTAGATTTTAAAATAAATAAAAATAATTAGCTTGGACTTCCAAATCCATTGATGGATAAATTCTTGTGTACCCATAAAATACGCCCCTTAATCAATAATCCAATTTTCTCTCTCTGTCTTTATTTAAAATATATATATATATAAAATGAATCTTATTACTTATTGAAACCCCAATTTTATTGTTCTATCGAAAGAGTAATTTTACAATGTTATATAGCATTGGTACTGTAGATTTTTGCCTCTATAGTACAACTTGATGATGGTATATATCTCTTTCGTTTTAAATCAAAATTTACAAAAATCAATTGCATAGAAATAACCGATTCATTATGGTATATACAATAATATCAATTTTTCTATATTTTGAGGGGGAAAAACAATTCTTCAAATGACGTGTTAGTTGTAATTTTGTTAGTGTCATATCGTCATGATATGACAAATTGTTAGTGCTATATTTCTTTTGTTTTAACTCAAAATCTTAAACTTTGCGCATAAAGAAATTACTAATTGTTATATGTACAATGATATCTGATTTGCTATATTTTGAGTAAAAAAATGGTTTTAAAAATATATGCTTGTAGGGTGCCTTCTACGGTACCCCGGGTGAAATCCAAGGTACCGCATATCTTGAGTATGAAAATATTATCTAGATCTCGAATTAGCGGGATTTTTGGACTTGATACTATACCCTAACCCTTAATGAGTGAGCCCTAGTTCCTAATTATCTAAATTATAAACTATAAACTCTAAGATGATGCATTCATTTTTTGCCTTTATTTGGACGAATCATAACCGTCGATTATTATTCTAATTAAATTGATCTTGGAGTATTAGATTTAGAGAACTAAGACCTAGATTTTGATCTTTAAGAGTTAGAGTATATTATTATGCCCGAAAGATCAGCCAATTCATGGTCTGAACAGCGTTTTCATACTCAGGGTATGCGGTACCCTGGATTTCACCTTGGGTACCGTAGAACTCCCCATGCTTGTAGTAGTTTTATCACTGTCATAGTATCATATCATAATTTACCAGTATCGTGAAACTGGCCGCACTATCACATTATGATAATGTCATAATATGAAGTTATATGATGTTAGTATGATAATAATTCATATCAAAATCTCACCATTGTCATATCATAATGTTACCACTATGGTAAGATTGACATCACCCTCATACCACTGTCACATAATGATAATATCATGACACGCTAGTGGTAAGATGACATGAAAAAATTGCCCAAAAAATGTCAAAACCAATATCATCTTGTAGAGCATAACTATGATCTTTCTATGCAAATATTTTTTGAAATTCGATGTAAAACGAATGAAATATGATCCTTTGAATTTTAGTAGAAGATTTTAAAAGTTATCTAACAGCACCTCTAGAAATATGTGCTTGCCGCCCCAAAATCACTTATTTCCATTCTTACCGCTTTGCGATATGAACCATTTGATCTCCCCTTCTCAAAATATAATAATTAAATATGATTTTATAGATCTTACGGGAAATATTTTGTGTTTGAGCCTTACTCATTCTTAGTACCTATGAAGGATCAGTTCTTTTAAGGAAAAAAAGTCTCAGTTGAATAATATACGATAATATTTTGGTCTCAAAGAAAAGATTAGGGAATTTTTAACATTGATTTTTTTATTAGGATCGGAGTGATTCTTTGAAATATTAGAGCAAAGTAAATGAAAAAGAGGAAGCCTACCAAAAAAAAAAATTGAAAAGGAAATAAAAATTTTAGTGTCCAGGTGGCTTCAAAAGATTGGATTTCCTAAAAATAATGAGTTGTATTAGCATAAGAAATGGATTAGTGGTCGTGGGCTGATGGCCTTGTAGAAATGAAAAAAAAAATAAACGACGTAGGATTGTAAAATGTAAAGAAAATAAAAGAAGTAACAGTAACGGACGGTTTTAGGCGAGAAGGCAGGGAGGAGAAGACTAATTTATCCCCCGAGTTATGCGGTTTAAACAGCACCGGCTGATGTGACAATGATTGTTTATTGACATTGCCTTATATGTTTTTGTAGACCAATTCTTAACAAATACAAGTACGTGATTTTGTTAAAAAATAAAGTTACGTGATTGTGTTGAGGCTGAATCTCCGTTACTACCTAATCTATAATGTGGGCTCTGTGGAAGTCTTCCAGCCCAGTAGCTACATTAGTTTCTCCACTGGGCTGCATGAGGCCCATGTTGCTTATCACATTCCTTTTGTTCCAGTTTATCAAATTAGGCTTAACGAATTGAAGTTTAAGCATCCACATCACATCAGCATTTGGATACTAGTTCAAACTCACAATCTGTTGATACTACACTGTAGAGGTGCCTTGCATCCAATTCACCAATTCAATTCAATCCAATTTTTCAACTTAAATATCCAACTAATTCAATTCATTTGATTCAAATCCAATTAGATTAGATTCATGAATTGTTTATAAATTATATTTTAGTACACGTACATTTTTATATTTTACCTTTTGGTACCTAAATTTTAATTTTTATATGAAAATACCATTGAAAAATTACATTTTTTACCTACAATTTTTCATTATGACATTTTAGCAGCTAAACTTTTCACAATTTACATATTGGTCTAAGACTAGGCTTTTATTTGGATTCATGGATCAATCCACCAATTCATATGATCCAATCCATATGATCTATGAATCCTCCAATCTAATCCACCAATCCACGGATCCAATACATTTTCCACCTCTACTACACTATATATTTTGTTAATGCAATTAATATTATAGACAAATTTTATTTGACGAAACTAATCACAAATCTAATTTGGTAAAGGCCATTGATTACAATGTGGTTTTGACAAGAGAGGATTGGAGTGTGATTCCAGTGTGCAAAGGAAGAAGGTTGGCGGCCTTGACAGAAGAAGAACAAGAGAGGCAAGCTGGTGAATAAGCAAAATAGAAGATGTTTATGGTTGGGTCTGAGATCAGGTTCGGAAAGATGGCATTTGATAAAGGACAAGCTAATGGAATTGATAGGATTGGGAGTCGTATGGTGCTCAACTGCTCATTGCTCAAGCAAAGAGCAACCCGATCATTCAACGTGAGAATAATAGAGGGAAAAGACAATATTTGATGGTGAAATTGTTTCTTACAAATCACAAGCAGCTGGTCTGTTGTTTTTCTTTCTTCGTTGCAGCAGCAATCGAAATGGCCAGGGTTCGATCCTGCTTTGTCGATCCTTTTCTTTTTCATTTGGAGTGCTGTATTGCTGCAATTGGAGTTGTCTATCGTCTTTTTCACTTTTCTCATCTTCATTCATGGAGTTTGACAGTCCCCCACAAGCTAGCGAGTATATGTCACATACTCAGGAACGGACCTAAGTAGTAATGAGGTGTGTCGGCCGACACACCTTCACACGGAATTTTTGTATATCTATGTTATCGCTTCATGCAATTACCTAATCAATGAAGAACAAGGCAGCCAAGATAGCACATGATTAAGTGTGTGCCTCTTACGCCATATTCGATGGTCTATAGCATCGATGATCTAAGAATCAAGCATCACCTAATGATGATGCCTACTAGCTATATGAGTTAAGTTTTCTTGTCTCCCATGATGGTAGCATAAACAATGCATACAATAACACATGATAGAACCATGAGCATCGATGGTCTAAAGTATACGAAGACTAAGCATAGAAAATTTAAAGTAATATATGATACAAGCATAAATCAGCTCAAGCATTAATGATAAGATCACTGAACACAATAGGCATCTCATTAAATCATAGAATGTGCTACACAAACATTATCGAATCACATCCCTCAACAAATCAACTAGCACAACAAATGAGAGTAGGAACATCACCAATGATGAAGAACATCGATTGTGAATCATCCTTGTCGAACTCTAGTAGAGCTTCGTCTCCTCTCTCTATGGATTGCTACTCGTGCCCCTTGGACAGAATGCTGGTAAAATGTATGTCTAATAGAGACCCTACCATTCTTTGAGTAAGGGCCTAAAAAAAAAAGGTAAACCAAGATTAAGCCTAAATATTATAGCAAACTTATATGAGATGAAGAGTATAATAGATTTGTTGACATTTGCTGTACTTAAAGCGATTACGACCCCTTTCCAAAGGGGCAAAGAAAACATTGTAAACGAAAACTGCTTTATTATTATGTTGTGAAAACAACTTTATTATAAATTTATTTGGCTTACAATAGAACCATTATTCCTTATAATAGAAAAGCAAATAATTTAGCACTTAACATCTTCCTTGTCATAAACGATGGTGGCGTTTGAGGTGGCAATGCTCCTCAAATAACATACCTTGCTATTGTCACCAACATTCTTGTAGTTGTATAATTGCTTCATATCCAGTACTTCATCCAGCCACGAAAAGTTCTTGACAATCCAAACGCCATTGCCAATCTGCTTATCTTTCAAGGTGGTAGTCATCACTGCTCCAGATTCAAAGTTGTTACACGTCTTCTCATCGTCGTACCCTGTTTCGATATCTGTTCGCTGAACATCATTTCCGTCACCTCCAGTCGACGATGGTACCATTTCGTCCTTGTTCGATATGGTAAACTTCTTCACCGAGTCGAACGAAAGGAAGTTAGGGACAGTACTGGAGTTCTTCACGAACGAAATGCTATCGTTCGAAAGAATGAACTGTTCTACTCTGCTGCTGTAGTTCCACACAGAGTCGAATGCCATGTACATGTTGTTAGTGAAATGCAACATTTGGGTGACATGACTAGTAATTTTTCCGTGCGAGGATTGCACCCATCCTTGTGAAGATATCATCCTCTGTGCCTTGACTCGCGATTCCATGACTACCCCCTTCATCGCCATAGTCGATGAGAGATGCAGTGGTTCGGTGTTGCTTGATACGAGTTCCCCTGTTGTCTTGCTGCTCTGGTGGTCCAACCATATGTGCAAGTTGGCATCAATGTACCATACACTGACGGCGTTCCCTATGTCGAAACTCAGATTGTGAATCCCTCCATTCAGCAGAGTCCCGAGGAAGGGAGTCAATTCGATGTCGTAGGATGGCAGATCGAAGCAGCCAATGCTGGCAACAGGATTCCACATATCGTTCCCTGCGCCGAAAATCACAGGGTAAGGCCAGATGGCGCCCACCACGACATCGTCCAGACGGATCGCTACATCTCTGAAAGGTCCGTCTCCGTGACCACCGAGAAGTTTGTGATTGAAACTATAGAACCCGGCCGGGTAACTTGACCACCACGTTTCGTCGGTATCGATGGGCGATACATAAACCTCCAACACAGCCCTGTAAGCGTTCTGAGGAATTTTGAACTCCTTGATTTGCTTCTCGTCAGCAGAGTTCTCAATTGGAAACCACAACCCATCTTTTGATTCGACATTTCGAGAAATGGGTAGGATCAAATCAGCAATATTGTTGGACACAAATTCGAAACCCGAATTATCAGTAATTATCTCTGGATTGGGGCTAGGGTAAAATGAGACGCCGATTGTGATGTGATACACTCCGGTAAACACACTATAAATCGTGTTGCGAAGGAAGACCGCGAGCTTTTGAGTCTCTTTCTTGAGTAACAAGGAAGAGTACCTGGTGATATCTTTTCGTGCAGTCCACGCAACCGATACATTGAGCCCCGGTGTTTGGGCAGGGGAGCTCCTGATGAGCTCCACCCCGTCTAGCCATACTCCGAAAATGGTGTGTCCTTGTGTTCCGTTGCAGGTTCCCGTCCATTCTAAGACAATCTTGGAGAAATTGTACGAAGCACAGTGGGAAGGAGGGCCATTGTAGTCTACTACGACCGGGGGTTTGCCCATGGTGGAGCCGAAATCGTGTTCGAGGAGGAGTTGCTTGCAAGGCACGGTATTAGGGATGTCGATGGGTTTGGTTACTTGGAATACAGTGTTTGGTTTGGAAGATCTTCTTGATGGGCTCCTGTGGCTATGGAGGTTTGGAAGATCATCTTGATGGGCTACTGTGGCTATGGAGGTTTGGAGTAACAATAACAATGGAAGAAGGGAGAAGAAAGAGAAGCAAGACATCTTAGCATGCAAAGTGATAATTGGTAAGATTAATGAAGCTCTCTAATCTCTTTTATAGCCCCAAAAGAAGAGACCATATTCTACAATCAATTAATAACCCCTAATTAATTCACAAATCATATAGGGTAAGAGATGCAATATTTAGGAATTTTCCGGTTGTGTTGTAGGGAGAAGCCAACGTGAAGAAACAATTTTGTAGTATCTCTAGTCTAGGAAGAGAGAGATTTCACATATATGAAACGTTTTTGTTATGTAGTATGTTTCTAATTAATTAGACTATATATATGTGTGTGTGTGTTAGCTGTTGAAATGGAAGACCCTTAAGATGTCACGTTTCAAATGGTTAGGATTTTAGGTGACATAGAGTATGATAAATGCCTAAATGGTAAATCGTATTATTAGGCTAACCGCAAAATTCATAATACATCATAGAATCGAAATATAAATTTAACACGAATAGTTGGTTCAGAATAGGGTACATAACCCTTGGTTATGCACACTTGTATTGCCAGATGTTGACCCTTAGTTTTAAGTGGGGCCAGATTTTGAAATGAAAATTAATGACTTTGTTATTTTCCTACTTTTCTTTATCGCCTTTTATTTTCTTCGTTTTAATTTGAATTTCAAAAGTTGTGCATAAATTGAATGACTTCGTTGTGGTCTACAAATTATATACATTTTCAATATATTTCGAGATTTTTTTATATTATCACCAATACCACTTGTTACCACGTGGTATCACTTGGTACCGTCTTTGTTCTTTACTCGAATTGTGAAACATTTTGCCCATATAAAACTAGTTCATTGTGATCTATTAGATATACAAATTTATGAAAAAAATTTACAGGACAAAAATGCCAGCCTATACCACCCTAATACTATCATGCATTAACCATCATTTACAAGCTTTCATCAACGTAAACCACCAGTTACCACCATGAAAAACTTTGGTGTGTTCATACCATAGTGATATACTTCCATACTAAATATTATAATCTTATGTACTTATAAAATAGTATCACATGATAAGGACTAGTAATAAAAGTCTCTTTTTTTATTCCAAAATATATAAAAGTAGATGACATTTAGAAGAGCACAATTAATATAATTTTTCTTTTTAATTGTTTTTTTTTTAATTTTGACTTACAACGAAGAGATATAGTCCATTAAATTTTATTGAGAGAAAATTAGTAACCTTTTATAAATAATAACTTTAGAGTTATGCAGAGTTATGCATGGTTATATATGCTTAATTATGCATGCAACTGCTCCCCAAATTATTCTAATATGTTGATAGTTAATTACCAAATGACTGCCGGAAAATATCAATCCTTACCTTAATACCAAGTAGCAACATTAGCCAATCTGAAAAACGCATAACTCGACCAGGTCTTGATCAATCATTTTGACTACCACCGATAATGGTCAGAGACTCATTAATTTTAAGAATACTTAAAATGGTCTTCCACTACAGTCTTTACTCAAGTTGTTTGATAAATTAATTTTCTTAGAGATCCAAAATCTATGGTATGTTGAACTCTTAGTTCATTATCTGTCCTAATAATTTTGATTTGAATGAGGGGTTGTTTTGTATTGTAATGAATTAATTACTATAATAAATACATATATTGATATAATAGATGCATTTTAACAATACATTATTTAGTTGTTATAGTATAATTTATGTATTTATTTGCATAAAGTTACTTTATAGAGAAATTCACATTTACCCTCAACTTTTCGTATAAGGCAAAAAAAATATTAGGGACATAAATGGAAAGAAAATGTGGACACAAATCTAAAACCAACAATCACAACATTCTCAACTTTTACTTGAGATTGTATAGTGCATCAATTGTTGTGATTATTGGTGGGGCCTACATAAAATAATGCATTCATTGTTTTCCAATTTGCCACTTCGAAACATTGAATTATGCACAATACATGTATCCAATAAACACAACTCTATCCAAACGACCTCTGAGTTTTAACAAAGATAGGTAGGTTGAAAATTACTTGCCTAACCTTGTTTTTTGTTTTTAGAAGATAAATCCAGGTATGTCAAGAATAATCATCCACACATTAAGAGATATAAAAAAACACCATTCACTATTCTTGTCACTAACTCCCACAAATCACACCCCTGCAAAAAACTTTTCATTTTAACAGCTCTAATCTGATAGTTGCTTCCATTGGAAATAGAGGGAGAAGTAAGAGAAAGACCAGTTAAGAACAACTCCAACAAGCAAGCCAAATTTCCAACAATGCTAAAACACTTCCTCTAACAACAATTGGAAAAGTCTAAAAAGCCATAAATTGGAAAATTTAAAATTTTATACCAAATACCCACAAGAAAAAGACAAAATTTGCCAAATTCTCTTTCATAGCGGCACCTCCTTTTTTCTTGAATCTGGCAACCCTTTTCACTATAAATACACTATGTTTTTTCACTTCAACTTCATCATTCGAATTTCTTCTCTCATTCTCATCAAATTATTGTGATTTTTTCATTAATGACATCATATATAACGATAATTTTTATGTTGAAATTAAAAAAAAACATTATCAAAACATTCATCTTAATTAATTATTATTGCCTGTATACAAATAATCTACGAACTATCTAATTCAAATAATGAAATCTACATACTAAACTAAATTATCACAAAAAGAGAAGTTTTGACATATAGCATTTTGGCATTGCTCGTTGGAGCAAAAACCACTTTTGGAGGGGAATGGATCAGGTCAGTAACTTTATGGTGAGTAACTATGAGTAACCCGCCCACATCAGCATACTCTCTCTCCTGGAAAACCTTTAATTTTCCCCTCCTTAATCTTTGACGGACGATTTCTCACTCGTTTTAAGTCGAAATTTAATTTTTTTTGCACAGTTAGATCAAATTAATTGTGCTCTTCAAAATGATATCCACTTTGATATATTTTTCAAACAAAAAAAAATCGAGTCATTTTATACCAGTCTATACCATATGGTATTGACTGGTATTGAAATAAGAGCATACCTATGATTTGAAAAGCGTACCATGGTGGTATGGCACAAACCAAGACTGTAGGATGATTGAATACATGATAGTAGAAGTATATTAATTGTCATTTACGACTTTTAACATTGTATACCATAAAATACCATACAATACCACGGGGTGGTATTTTATGGTATTGTGTGGTATTTTTTGGTCTTGTAATTTGTTCACCCAGAAATTTGTAGATCCAATAGATCATGATGAACTCGTCCCTGCTGTGCAAACGTTTTCAAAAACGAATGAAAAACGAAGAAAATACCATATGGTATGCAGTTGGTACCGAAAGGCCAGAATTTTTTTTTCCTCAAAAAATATTAAAAATTGATCTCATTTTGTAGAGCATGATGAACTCGTTCCATCTGTGCAAAAAAAATTACAATCCGAGTTAAAACGAAAAAGATATGAGTCAATTAAGAAAACTAATGAAAATAAAAATGACATTTAATTCTCCATCCTTAGATCTAGATTTTCTAAATGAAGGGTCCAGATTTAGTTATTGACATGGTTATGCACCCTATCTTGAGCCCTTTTGGAGTGCCAAAATACCAAAACTATTTGACATTCTAACACTTTTCCAATTCCCTGCCGGAGATGATCTAAAACCATTAAGTTACGGTGAATAACATATGCTGGGTAAAAAAAAAAAATGAGAGGAGCTCTCTCCTCTGTCCTCCGCCTTTGCTTTCTACTATGGGCAACTCCTGTTTGCCATGACTAAGACAGTGCTCGATGTTAGCCTTATCAATTAGAGGGTGACTGGAATGCTTGGGCGAGGGGAACGACACGATGGTCAGAGTGGTGATACAGACTCTGACGATGACGGCCAGAAGGTTACGCCTCCAACGGCTCACCGACAAAGCCATGATGACGACCAAGTTTCGTTTCGTCTGGTAATGACTTGTTTACAAGAAGATCCACAAATTGGATCCGTAAAAGGAAGCTAGGGAAGCTTCTAGCCAACGAAGTCGCACTAGATTTTATTAAACCTAAACGTTTGTGCTCGTCACGAAAGGAAGTTTGGCGATTCCCGCTACCTTCGTCGACGAAAATGAAAAATGGCGGACTGGATGAAATCCAGATTCCCATGGTAAAAGATGGCCTTCAAGGCCAGGATCTATTGAAAGTCGGCCGTAATTGGGCGATTACAGCTCCCTTTATTATAGAGGACTGGATCATCCCGGAGACAAGTATTAAGCCACCGACGGTGCTGGCTCGGTAGGGAGCACTATCGTATACCGATACATGGTTGTTCGACGCCGGGAATGACACTGCAGTACGACGTGTTTGGTCCACAAGCTGTTGTTCTGCCAGAGACTCAAATCTTCAAAAGTAAGAAGCTGAAACTTGTTGAGTCGGGGTTTGCATTGCAGGCTGATCCAAAGGCTAATATAAGTTGTTTGAAAGAAATTATTCAACTCTGCAAATACCATGATTCGACCATTGTGAAGCTCAGTTTGTTGCCATTGTTGGCTGTTTACAAAAGCATAATACATGAGTATCATACATGGCTTCGCACGGGAAAAGAGCTAGGAGTGAAAGTTTTCAAGGAAGTGAAGCAGATGTGGTCCTATGACTCAACACGGTTGTTCACAAACAATTGAAATCTGCAGCAGAAGAGCCGAGTCCACGCAGCTACGGCCGTAAAGACATGGGATGAGAATCCGCTTCCAAAAGGAAAGCTGAGACCTCGAGCAAGACAGGGTAGAAACAGGTTCAGTAGCCTGAGTATGGGTTGAATTAGTTCGCTAATTAACTCGAACCTTGAGGACAAGGTTCTTTCGAAGGGGAAGAAATGATACGTATAGATATATTAGAGTTTCCATTATTTGAATTAGTTAGTAATGTTGAACAAGTCAGTAGGGTTGTTATTTGTTAGAGAGTCATGGGTTGTTGGGTGGTTACTGGTTAGTGAGTCAATAAGCCTCTCCACATTAAGTGGAGAAAGAGCAGCAGTAGGAT